AATCTGAAATATGATTTCATGCTATCATTATATTTGTTATTGTTGTGCATTTGTTTTCAAAATTGTGAAAATGCAACCTCGTTGTTATTGATTTGTAAATTTTATACCAACATAAGTTTTCTCTTAACAATAGTCGGAAAATGGTTCTCAAAATCATAATATTTGCTGAATACAATTTCATAATATCCGTAATTACATGTTTTGCAGTTGCAAAATAGTGTTCTGATTTATCTTCAACCTGATGAATTCAACAATAACCTGTCGTTATGAACTGAATATCTACCGCTATATGTATATACATCTGAAGATTAAATTATTTCAAAAAATCTGTGATACATAAACCTCAAATTTGTGGAAGCACTCCTAATACACACATACAAGGATACTGATTAACGAGAACAATTTATATCTAAAGAAAATATAACTAGAAAAAATTCCACGCGGACCAGACAGCAGACGGGACTCGAACCCGCACCCTTCGCAATCCGGGCGAGATCTTTGCAGCTTAAGAATGGCTAGAGGAATTTCGACGCGGCCCGTGAGGGCCGCGGTAGCATAATGAATAATAAGCATTCGCACTGACCAATTCTGGGCGAATGCCGAATATGGGCGAATAGGGCAAATGCCTGGTTATATTTTTTTTAGATTTAAACATCAAGCAGTTACATGCTTTAAAAAAAAATGAGAACAATTTATTTTAACAGCTTATTTAGTTAGCTGTGTTTTAAATCGATTTTTTATATTTATATATGTACATATTTGCTATGTTTCGATTACGTCGCTTGATGGATGCGGGCGTTGTATCATCTTCGTGTGTTTTGTGCGATAAAACCGGCGTGGAACGGAGCCGAGCGGTGGTGACGAGTGATCCGACCCCGTCTGATTTATGCGGCCTCGTGCGCGCGATACGATACGCACTCACTCGCTTACAATTTATTTCATAGATATCCACGGATTTGTCCTGATAGGGATATAAATGGGCACGCTTTCTTGGAATTTCAACAAACAGGTAAATAAACTGCCGAAAATAGTCATTGGTTCGCAGCATTTCTGACGCATCGGAAAAGGTTGAAACGCGATTTTTTTTTTACAAATGTGGGACCGCTAAAACTTATTTAGCATTTCTTTACTTTGTGAGACCAATAACATTTTATCAACATTATGCCATATTTGTGTGCTTTCAGGACGGCTACCAAGCGGGGACAAATTATTCCTGGCCATTCTTCTCTCATAATTAAACCACTTACGACAAAACCACTCGTATTTGATTATCACGCAAGATAATGATCAGTGTCAATCAAGGGACACAGAAACATAAAAAGGTGTCATGTTGCCATTGGTAACATTATCTTTTTAAATAGTTTCTTATGAAACTCTTGTTGTTTTATCATTAGCTGCTATTACACCTTCTTTATTACAATTATATTTCAAGAGTTATAGAAATTGTAACAGTTTGCTATAATAACATTATTAGATTGAAATTCTTCTGAAGTTCATCTAAACAAAGTTAGAACTTTGATAGAATAATTTGCCAGAGTTGATCCATTCGAGATGACATCTAAAGTTCATCAGGCCGGTTAAAGGCTTCTAATTCCTTTTGTTATCAAAGCAATCTGATAAATTGAGGAACAGATAAAAGTTAGAGGCGTCGATGAGAAAGGAAATTAGTAAGATAGCGGTTTGAAGTGAATAAAAAGTCGAGTTTGACCTTGACTACATTTAAAAGATTTAAGTTTTGTATCAAGGGTTAGATGGAGCAGATTTTATATAAATATAAAGTATAAATTTATTCTAAATAGGGCTTTACTGTGGTATTAACATTCTTTGAAATTGCGACTAACTCATAAATACTATTCCCATACCGTTATGTTTAGCTATTTTACATTTTATTATAACTAATAGCAATTTTATCATTGAAATTATTTAAGTATATAACTCTCTATGATATATTAGGTTTATTGGTGTAGATTACTTTCATATCATTGAAATATCTGGCATTTTGACAAATCTCGCATGGCAGAAACTTAATTAGATGCACGACCTATTTGGCTCGATGTTTCATATGCCCGCAGGCAGGAGACCCTTGCAGGAAAGCACATTTTTACGAAAACTGCATTTGAATTATGATAAAAAACTGCATTTGAATAATTAGATACTTAACAGAAATATCATAGTCAAAGAGAACTTTAAAAAAATGGGTGCGTGTACTTATGTAGGCGCGTGAGAAGTTATCCTTCTTTGGCATCGTTTAAAATTAGTTTTTAATTGCATGCAAATAATTAATTACAATAAATTAATAAAAAGTCTGGAAAAGGACACAGTCAATAAAGTTCAGTTTTAATTTGAAAAAATAAATAAATAATCAAAATATTCAATTAAAATCGCTACTGAATATAATTTATTAGAACATATGTGATTTGCACTTGTATGAAACTCAAACACGTATTCCGAATATACAAACTAGAAACATGTGGATAAATATTATAAATATGAATACCTATAACTGTTACTTTATTACAAAAAATAAAGATGTGGTTTTTGGTTCTACTACACCAATGGTCAAGAGATGGCGCTGTAGTCTCCTGAATCGCGCTTTGGTTCCGTTGTTCCAGATTCATAAATACTTTTGATAGGCCTTCACAATGCAGTCGTTAGCACCCACTAAATAGAGATTCTATTTCTATTTTGTTGGTAGATTTTCTTAATGTGCGGTAAAATAAAATTTTGTGTTACAGTGATGCGCTCGCATCTTAAAATTTCACTCTCATCATTTTTTCATAACGCGCCTAAAGAAGTATAACTTCAAAAACAAAACATGATCAGCCTGACGGATTTATGTTGAACGTTCCTATTGTAATTTCTTGTTACATAAAGACACTTTTCATCATAAACAATAAAAACCAAGGTCGTGAAATGACTCGCGATCAGTTCGGTGGTAATTATGCCTTATAAAGTATTCCGCTAAACATAGCACGTTGCAAGGTTACGCGCATTGTGGCGCGCAAGCGGCCTCTTACGTCACGGCCGCCGGGCGACTAGCTAACGTAGTGCCGACGACGCCCATTAAAACACAATTCCGATGTAATGTAATACAAACAAGTATGGCTGATAACATCGATTGTCACAAGGAAAAAGAGTTCTTTTTTTTCTAATAGATAGATAAGACCTATATTTGGTAACATATATTATTATAAAAATATTTGAAAATGCCCGTCTAACATTGATTTACTCAACTTGGTATCGCCATCGTCTGTAGCTTTATAATGTCACGCTAGTTATTTCCATGCCATATATAGGCGTTTGCATTGCAGTGAAGCTTGAGGTTGAGGTTCATGAAAATCGATCGAAGTATTTCAATGTCAGCAGAATTCTAGGTGCATTTTATTATTGTGAAACAACTGAAGGGCGCCTGTGAAATCTTGGTCGATATTTTGCGATAAGTTATTCCATGGATGATGGTATAGATTTTGTTAAACGCATATATCAAGTGGTTTCTAGATGGCTTATCGATGTATTTTAACGAGTGGCTAATCGGTTTTAAAAGTTGTATCTTTCAAAAGAGACAGGTAAGCAAAACGCTCCATTAGAACGAGGTCAAATGCAGTGACCGACGCATCATTTTGTAGCACAATTGATGTAGGCGGTGTGCCCGATCCTCATATCAAACTTGATGACTTCATTCTTAGCTCTGTTCTCAACCATATCGAAGTTGTTAGAAATAATCTCACAAAATCCAGGTTTTTGCTCATTACAGTCTCTGGGTATTATATTCACATATCTCATTGTTGTGTAGCCTCGTAACATTCATATGACGTGTTTTATCGATTGCGTGATTTATTGTAACAAGTACCTTGTTTGAACTGGTTTTATTCCATATTTAAGTTGATTACTTTGTTGATTAACTGGTTTTCAGATCCATCGTCGTAATAGTTTTTGTCTTCTTAAATTTCTTTTAGCCTCGTTCCTCGTAGCCTTTACAATTTCAAAATGAAGCGTTACCAACGATATATTGCATGATAACAACAGAGATGTACAGACAGATTTTTAACACTACAAATATTGAAACTATGTCTAGTTTCTAAATAGTCTGTACATCTCTACTTGTAACTGAAGTATAAATGAAATCACTGTATATGTTTCATTTGTTTCATTCAAATAAACAATATGATTAAAGCACGTAACACTATGCTAGCACGTAGGTTTTAGGCATATCACTGCAACTCGCTGTACGTTATTATTATCAAACGACTAAAATAATATCCATTTGATGATTGGCCAAATATTAACGTGACTTTACTGATGTTGGCGTATAATAACCTCGATGTTGGGCCAAACGTTTGCCACCACCATTCTCAAACTGACATCAGCACAGTGTCCGAAGGTGTGGTCTACGGACACACAAATAACATGCACTTCACAGTGACTCATGACTTGTATTTATAATATTCAAGTAGTGATCAAACGCTGAAACTATTTGCAACTTGTTTTGCGTTTGTTCGTTGGCCTTGACTTGCATAATGTCATTATGGGGTTTTATGGTTCATGTATTTGATCACTTTCCACAAAATTCTTTCTATCACACATAAAACCTCATTCATTAAATCTTCATTAGTAATATTCTTAAAATCTTGGAGTACTGTATCCTGTGTTTCTTATGAATTCCCTCAAATATTTTCTTTATCAGCCTAAAAATAAACTGTATGTAAACATTATTAAAATGTAATTTCTTATAATATCTATTATAATTTGTTAAACTTAATTAATAATAAAATCTGTAATACGAAATTACCTAAACTTATTGTTGTAAAGACTAATAATTCAATATTTTTATAATACGTCGATAAGAATTTCGTCAGACTTTACTTAAATATAATCAATACCAATTTCGTGTTTTTTCTAGTTAATAATTTTGAAATTAAGTAAAACATCCTTTTGCATTTTGACACAGAGTACTCCAGAAGTGTAGACCATCCTATTAACTAGTACCTTTTGCTTAGCAGTTGAGCCGACATACCACTTCAAGGTGCTGGTGCCGTCGATGGTGGCCGGCGCCATCATCGGTAAGGGGGGCGAGACCATCGCGCAACTGCAGAAGGACACCGGCGCCAGGGTCAAAATGTCCAAATCACATGACTTCTACCCTGGTAAGTGATGCTTAATTAACTCTCAAAGCTCTCTTACGGGCATTGGAATTTCTGGAAACTTTCATCGAATGTCTTACTTATAACAAAATCGTATTGATTTAATGATTATGACATTTCATGTTGTTCGTTTGCTGCAAGAGTCATAGCAAAATTTTTATGTTGTCTTTATATAAGTATTATGATACTTATAATAATATCTTGGGTATCTTTCTTTACTCTTTGATTAATATCAACAAGAACAAATTTATTCGATATGCTTACAATACAGATTTTAATCATAACAGAGCTCTCTAGTTCTGTTACCAATTTCCTAAGTCCAAATGAGATCGCTTTGTATATCGCCTGGCATTACAGTTTCCCTTGATCATATTACATTGAACAGAGATATTATAGATACATGTTTTGGTATTAACTAATAGTAATCGATTCGATATAACTTCCATATTCATGCCAAACCATTATGTGAGATCCACTTGACCTGCCAATACATGAATATACTCTATTGATTTAACTGTACTTACTTAACCAGTACCTATCGTGCCTAATGCATTAACTAAACTTAAAGTTTGAAAATAATAAATTTTCAAACTTTTTACAACGTTCATTTTATGTTTACCTCCCTAAAATGTATAAAATGTAAACAAATATCTAAGCAAAAACTAAATTTTCGGACTAAAACAATAAATTGCATGTAGTGTTTAAATAACGGAATCAGTATTTCATGTATGCGAATACGTAGACATTGAAACAGGGCAGCATTCTCTTAAGGGACATACCAAGAATCTGCAAACAATATAACAGCAAACTTATCAATGGAACAATGTGTGTATAAGCTGTTGACAAAAAAGTTTTAATATGGATTGTATCACAGTTTATTACTTATTTCATTAATGGTGGATGCCGACCCAGATCGCCATTGTTGGTCCCGGAAGTAATAACGGCGTTCGACTCCCTAACTCGCCGCTGGCTATGAAGTCTCAATGTTGCTATAAATTTTAATCCTCCGTATAACTGTAAGAAATGGATTTCTGATTAAAAGGGGAATTCACAAAATGCAAAAGGCCGTTTTGCCTTGATGGTATTCCCCAGGGTTGTTCATTGGGGTTTGTATTTTTATAACTCAAACTCATTTATTCAGTCTAGGCTGTTACAAGCTCTTGTGAAAGTCAAACGCTACGCCATCGGTTCGTAAATCTACGGCGGGAGACCTTGTACTGAGAAGAACCGACAAGAAACTCAGCAAGGGCTATTTTTTTCTCCCTGTTTTGTTTCATACAGTGTCGTCAAACAAGTCATATATAAAACTTTCGTAATAATTTTCGTATATGAAATTATTATCTGCATTGGCAATTACGTCTCTAACTGTAATATAGGGTTCGGCTTTATTGGTAAGGATTAACTAAGATTACCGCATAAATACCCCAAATCTCCAATTAACGTTCCTGCGGTTAATCTTCCAAATTTAAATGTAATGAACTAAATTATATCTGTCTCATATCTGTTTATGAAACGAAATTAATTTAAAATATAGTTTTAGAGCGTTGAATCTTACAAAGTTTTGCTACATTCTAAGACAGGTGGCAACATAATATGGTTTCCTTTTTACTCATAGTTGGTAGTGGTAGTGAGTCAACACGAGCATACTTTAGCGCGTTTAAATACATTCCATACGTGCCAAAAACTTTAGCATAGCTAAATTAGTTAGTAACGTTAAAACAAACTTAGGCGTCGGATTAATATCATTCTCAGATTGTTGCGAAGCTAAATTAGTATCGTGTTGATTAATTTATGCGGGAAGCGCATGTCTTTGCTACAGTCATCCATTATTCATTCATTAGCACTTCGGCCTTGCTTGCATAAAAAATAATCCAGTACCCGCAGCACTGTTTGTGTTACGTCGTAATTGCAGATTGAGTTAGTAATTGTAGATTAATGATACGTAATAATAAAACAAACATTATTTTTGTTTGCCTTTTCGATTCATATTTATTTATTGATTAGAGTTTTGTTCCAATCATTGTTGGACAGACGTTAGCTTTTAACGTTTTTGTTGTTTTTTTTAACTGATATTATGTGATAAGTATACTCAAATCCCCGATTTTTACATTAGGGAAAGATTTTAAGATTTCATTTTTTTTTTGGATTGAATATATTAATAATTTTATGTGTATTAAAGTAAAAATATGAAAGCCAGCGTGAACAATAAATATTTTCGTATAAAAGTTATAACAAAATTATACGGCACCAGAGTAAATAGAGCGGCTCTGTGCTCTCCGTATTAGCAACGATCAGAGCTGACTCCCACGGGAGAGAAAGCCATAAATGTTCTGAAATACACTCCAATAACATCTCTTTTGAAAAACAAGTTATCGAACAAACAACTTTGATTTGCGTTGCAGCCTGTCCTTAAAAATATTTAACTTCCTTTGGATGTTGCTAGGGATATTCTTTTAGTTTAAAAGCCAATATATCAACAGTCGCGACCCTAGATGCCTCAATGAAATCACATCGAATCACATTATCCCTATTCTTGACGTAGCGACACGTTGAATTTCCTGTATAAAGGCTTCGTCGAAAGTATATATCGTGGAGTGGGATTTTAGGCAATAGTTAATGATACATTTTCTGAAATATCATCGAAATTTATGATTCGAATATTACAAATCACTTGTAGCAAAAATCGAAACAAGATTTTCGGCGAAATCTTTATAAACGTCGTAGTTAAGTTTTCGATAAACATTTTGAAACCGAGTTATTTTTATTGTTGTTGTTTGTTTAATGGTGTTAAGATACGAATGTTAGAAGTTGTATAAAAAGTAACGACTTTTTGATGGTGTTTTGACGATATGTTATTACACGAAGGAAGGCGTAAAACCAGAGCTTCCTCCTGAAACGGAACGTATTTGATATTTATCTGTTTGCGTTCTGTATCAGCCAGGGCGTATAGTGTACGGGTGCGGCCAGAGTGCACTCAGATTCAGAGTCAGATTCAGATTCTGAAAACAAGCGCGAGAAATAAACAGTGTAGTCTAAGCAGGTTGCCTGCTTTTTCTCGCGCTTTGTTTTCTGAGTCTGAATCTGAATCTGAATCAGGAGTGCAATCTGGCCGTACCCGTCGACTACACTGTTTATTTCTCGCGCTTGTTTTCGAAATCTGAATCTGAGTGCACTCTGGCCGCACCCTACCGCTGTGATTGGATTACGAACCCTAAATGCATTCAAACGGAAATTGAGATCGTATTGCCAAATTATTTTTGTAAATAACTGTAAATATTTCCAATGTTATTCGAGGAGCTCGATGGCGCAAGTGGTTAGCGCGGTCGGCTGCGGTCGTTGAAGTTAAGCAACTTTCGCAGTGGTCGGTCATTGGATGGGTGACCAAAAATTTACTATCTCGAGCTCCTCCGTGCTTCGGAAGGCACGTTAAGCCGTTGGTCCCGGCTGAATGTGCAGTCGTTAGCACCCACCAATCCGCACTGGGCCCGCGTGGTGGGTCATGGCCCAATCTCCCTATTCCATCCATAGGGAAGGTCTGTGCCCCAGCAGTGGGGACGTTAATAGGCTGATGATGATGATTTCCTATGTTTATTTTATTTGCACTTGAATGGACCGCACCCGTCCGTCCGTACTCTGAAATTGTTCCAATACCTTGACAATTCGAAAATCACGTTGATTTTATATAAACGTCAAGGTCTTTTTACAAAATATCTAATGAGTGTGTCAATTTATTTTTGATATTAAGCATTGTTTCAAAATGTTAAGGCAATTAGGATGAGATCATCAAACTCTTGTATCTTTCTCACAAAATATAAAACGAGTGGCGTCAGATAGCAACAGTTTTAGTTTAATTAATACAGCAGATAAACTCTTGTATGCTAATATTAAGATAGAGAATGTTTTTAAAAAAAATATAAAATAGCTGGGTTACTGTGAATTGTAGGATTAGGAGTCTCTTAACAAAACTAAATCTTGCCAATGCATTTAGCGTATTGTAAATATTCATCCAAAAATCAGTAAATATCGATTTTATGATTTTATTAATTTTTTAAGCATTTAACTGCAAGATATTTAAATCTAAAGAAAAGTTTACTAGAAAAAAATCCACGCGGACCAGGCAGGACTCGAACCCGCATCCTTCGCTATCCGGGCGAATGCACTGACTATTATGCTACCACGGCCCTATTAGCCGCGTTGAAATTTTCCTAGCCTTAAGCTGCAAGGCAGCGCCATCTCTTCGCATTATCGATTTTATGTTTTTAGCCGTTAAAACAGTGAATGATCTAATATCTGAATAATATATTTCCTAAGCTTTTTTACCACGCCTAGAACTTGTAACGAAGTCTACCAAAAGTTGAACCTTTCCAATATATTTTCTACTTAGATGTGGGGCGTGTCAAGGCTCCTCCGTGCTCTGCGGCCTTTAGTTACACCACTATCGTCTGCCGCATAATTTGTAGCGCTTTTGTATTATACGCATAAATAAGGTTGGTTTCTTGTATAATCGCTTTATTTGTTGCATCATTTCTGTTTTCAATGTTAATAAAATGCTGAATTGTATCACATACATTTTGTATTAGATCCAGAATCCATTCCACAGCACATGCTAGTCTAGTTTAAAATTCATTAATTTATTTGTGCTCAGTTTAGATATGATTGCAATTGCTGATATTAATTTAACAAATTCTAATCAAATTTATTACGTACATTATAATGTTCAATAAATTAGAGCTTTAAATGGTTTTATATAGGCGTTACAGATATTCGGGTTTCGGGTGGACCCTTTTAGCGAACGATTCCAATTTATCATTTTAAATTTATAACCCTGTCTTTTGCTCTTTTTATTGTAATTATGTGAGGAAACAGCAATGAGCAAATTGTTGTCATCGAACTTGTTCACTTCTAAATTCTCATATATTCTATTGAATGTATATGAATGCGTGTAAGTAAAGTTTAGACCGGCGTTGCTTTGACGTACTCGTACACGGATTTAATTTGTTTGA